GCTGAAGAGAATAGGTTCTTCACACTTTACACTTTGTTCTAAGTACTTTTCCTACTTATTACTTTAACGAATATAAAACATCTTTACCATCTTTATCACTATCGCAACCTTTATTATTACGCCAAGGAAAGCTCTTCACGAAGAGGAGTTAGAGAAAGCTTACCATAGGCGTTTCCGATAGAAGACAAAGGTCTCATACTATTGGTAACATAGGCAGAGTCCCAGTGCTATCATAAGACTAAGAGAAGAAGAAGGAGAAGAAGAGAAGTATCATTCCCCGTCGCCAAGAACTAACTATCCAAAGAGGGATTGTTACAACGCCCCTGAAAGAACCAACTATTTAGCTGATACTCTGTCCTGCATTTATGAGAACTAGACACTCCTGGACCCTCCTTTTGTTTATGACCATACAAGACAAAGCGAAGATAGCCCTAACAACACCTCCTATGAACAAGAAGCAATATTGGCTACTACCAGTACTACGCCTCGCTCCATTCCTTTCTCTTATACCATGTACAGGGCAGTTGTAACAGAGCGCGGAAAAGAAATCATTGATGAATGGAAAGACGATTGCATTCTCTACTGTACACCTCCTCATGAGCTTGAACAAAGCAGACTCCACTGGTCCCACTGTTACCATGATATCTGCCCCTTTCACTAGACTGAAATTAAATTCAGCAACAAATACCAGTGACCATACGATACCTCTGCTGGAGATTCTAAAAGCACCAGCTTCGACACTGTAGAAGGAGAAGAAGAACAACAAATGATAAACGATGTTAATGATGGATCGATCCAACCTTCCCTTATCCTTAATCCTGCTCCAAGATGACGCCAAGGTCTTGAACAACTCGAAGAAGCAGCATCCTACTTGGACGCAACATCCTACCTACACCCCCCATAGTCCACATCTTCATCCTCACCCCCTATAATAGATTCATGACCACTATTTGGCGGGCACTTACGAGTATACAATAACAAAACTATCATCTCTGTCATACCACCCACAATTCCTGAACATTGCTGACAGCTTTATGAAATATTTCATGAAGAGGAAGACCTTATCGAACTAACAAGAGAATCCCTCATTGAGGATGAACACGATGTTAGATCAACTATGGAGGAATTGACCTCATCCTTCCAAAGCCAGATAATAGCAGGATACCACCATAACCCAATCTATTTCAAAGCCATAGACAGCTCCAGAAATGGAGCTCTCGCCCCCTACAACATATCTAATAGAATGGTCTATACCATCACTTACTATGGTGAACATTGTTTATATATCCCAAAGAGTCATATATTCAATAGAATGACTATTAGGGAATATATCATTACTGAAATCCACAACAAAGAACACCACAGTGCAGACCGCAACCTCCAATATGCCTCAGAATATGTTTACTGGCTCGAAATGAGAAAGGACCTCTGCGACTTTGTCAAATAGTGTGAACTCTGCCAGGAAAATAAGGAATGAACCCAACTGCCTGAAGGGAAAGCCCAGACACTTCAGTTGCCTTATGAGATATTTGAATCATTTGCTATCAACTTCGCTGGACCATTCAACAAGTCTGTTGGCTATGACACTATCTTGGTAGCTATTAATCAATTTTCCAAATATACATAGCTTATACCAATGAAAGTCACAGACTCCTCTAAAGACACTTGGAATAATCTCTAATGATATCTATTTACCCCCTATGAATACCCATTGTCTATTGTCAGTAATGCTGATCCCCATTTCACAGCCAGCTTTTGGAAACAAACCTTGACTTCTCTAGGAATCAACTATATTACGGCTGCTCCTGGACATCACGAAACTAATGGCCAGGCTGAATGAAAGATCTGTGACGTCAAGACCGGAATTCGGACCATGATCAATGAAAGACAGACCAACTGGGAACCCATCCTCGCTGAGCTTGCCACATATATCAATGCTGGATATTCAGACATCCTAGGAATGTCTCTATACAAGGCAATCTTTGGCTGCCAATATCCTCTCCTGCCTACAACTCTATTCAAGAACTCTTCTATTCCTGCCTCTGATGACCACTTGAACTGCTATCAAGCCATCTGGAATAATGCTTTCCAAGCTGTTTAAGCAGCACAATTCTGAAGTACCACTACTGCTCAGAAGTGACAATGCAAACACATACCTATTCTGCCCGGCTATATGCTTATGGTTCATGGAGACATGTTTATTACCAATGTTAGATGTAGCAAGAAACTACAACTACAATGGTGAGGACCTTTCAAGGTCTTATCTTGTGATGAACATACAGAAAACTACACTGTCCAGATGGACAGACGTATGTACCACCGCAATACCGCTGTTTTCCATACCTCTACTGTCAAATGTTTCTACCCTAGTGTCACAAACGTGGCTTAGCATGAAAGAGGTTTTCACATGACACATGGTTATGAGTCACAGGTATGTTATTGTTTTACACATATGACTCATTCGAGTCATATGATTTGTTATGTGTGGGATTTGTGATGCTTTCGCACATGGCTCAAATATGAGTCATGGGACGTGTGCCTGGTGGGTATGCCTTGCGAGTGTGCCTTGCGGGTAAGCCCTGCGCATATGATTTATATTTCACACATGACCTCGTTATGAGGTCATGGGTTTCGCACATATGACTCAGTCAAGTCATATAACTTGCTTATTGTGTTATGATTGGTTTATGAGTTTTTGTACATGACCTCGTTATGAGGTCATGGGTTTTGAACATATGATCACTTTGGTCACATGATTAGTTTGTTATGATTTGGTTTCGCACATGTGACCACTTTGGGTCACATGACTACAAGCGGGAAGAATACTATATAAGGAGGCTGATGTAGCTGAGGAAGATAGATTCTTCACGCTTTGTTCTAAGTACTTTTCCTACTTATTACTTTAACGAATATAAAACACCTTTACAATCTTTATCTTTATTGCAACGTTACCATTACGCCAAGGAAAGTTCTTCGCGAAGAAGAGTTAGAGAAAGCTTATGATAGGCGTTCCCCATTGAAGACAAAGGTCTTGTATTATCAGTAACGTAGGCAGAGGCCTAGTGCTATTGTAAGACTAAGGAAAGAAACAAAAGAAGAGAAGTATCGTTCCCTGTCGCCAAGAATTAACCATCCGAGGAGGGATTGTTACACCTAGTGATGACTCTAAGTTTTCTGAAAGATTCCATTCTCACCCTGCACCTATCATCGATAAGAAGGACCAATGAGAAGTTGAAGAAATCCAAGACCACTGTCTTTAGTATGGAAATGACCAGTTCCTGGTCAAATGGAAAAAATATCCAACAAGCGAAAACAGCTGGGAGCTACTTGAAGGGTTGGAGCATGCTATGGACATGGTGAACAAGTGGTGGGAAGACAACATGTCAAATGATTCTCTACCACCCACAATTAATTACATCATGATATGCTAGTCACCAACTATGTCGGAGACTGAGTGATAGCAAGTTAAACTAGAAGCCCAGGATGGATTTTAGGTACCATACTTTGAGTCAGAATTCAAAAGCAGCAATGAGAAAACCAGACTATAGAACAAGTTCTCAACAACCTCATCTAGTCACTATTCACTATCCAAATACCATAACAATGTCAAACTATGTGGAACTCAATGTGAGGCTGTGACAATAGCTTGCTGGACTTTTGTTGAACTACAATGTTATTCAACCTGAAGACTACTTCACTATCCTCTAGGTAGACTACTGCCCTGATTGTAATAATGCTTGAGTAGACATACAGCATGAATCTGATATTCATAACTACTGTGACCTGCATGTCTTTGAGTCTAGTTGTTTCTTTAGGATTTCTTCTTGTCCATGGTGTGACACTTATGATAAAGAACTTATAGTGGAAACTGAAGCCTTTAGTTTCTCAGACTCAGCTTTTGATGATTATTAGGTTTTGTTTAAAATAGTTGTTTTGTTTTGAGGAATGTAACCAGTACGGGTACTCGGTTATTAGTTTTGTTTTATGTTTTGTTTTAAGTATTGCTTTGATACTTGGTTTGTTTTAAGTATCATTTGATACTTGGTTTTGTTTTATGTTTTTTTTTGAGTATCACTTTGATACTTAGTTTTTTTTTTTTTAAGTATCCTTTGATACTTAGTTATGTTTTATGTTTTGTTTTAAATATTATTTTGATACTTGATTTGTTTTACCAAAGTGTATCGCTTGATACCTTTGATTAGTTTCTTTCATGCTAGACATGAACAGATTTGTGTATTTAAAGACCACCTGTTTCTACAATGGAAAAGGCAGACTTCGACAGACAGTATTTCAATATACTTGGTTGAACAATTATCTCTTTGTTTCTCAGTACATCCTTGAAGCCTCCTTTAGTTTCCAGCTCTTACCTCCTCTCTAGTAGAGCAGGCCACCAGCCAACTATTGTACCATTTACGGATAACGTGATTAGCACCTTGCAAACATGTTACAAAGAACACTTAGACCACCTCAACAAGAATGGAATCAAGTCTGGAGAGCAAGATCAAAAGGTTGTACTATCAAGCAGAGCAGTCTGATTGTTTGAGTAAAATCAATAAATCAGGATAGTCTGCACAGAAATACTCAATTTGATGATATGGTACGGTATTGTAATCAAGAAATAGTCTACGGAATTCTTTTTTCATGAGATAAACAAATAGATCTAGTAATCACCCAGGTGGCGAATCTGTGGAATCTGGGCGACAGCGATGTGCTGGGTGTTGGGGGACAGCGATGCGACAGGTCATGGTGCGCAGCCTCTGGAGGGCCTTGTTATTTGCTCAGGAGGAACAAAAAAAGGATCCTAATGCGCCCCAAAGAGGCATCTGGGGCACCGCTTTCAGACCCTCATCGTAAAAGATCACTCGGACCTTTGGACCTACTCGGGTTGGCTTCTAGAAGTCTCCCGTGATGTATGATAGCAAAGTGTCTACCTGGCCATCCAATACCATACTTCATCTAATATCGGTTCGACACCAATACACCAATATTGCAAGCAAATATTTAGGATTATAATATTATACTATAAAGAGATTCAATAGCATCATAATACAGTACAGCAGTTATGGCATTGCAAACTAAAGTTCTATCCCACTACCCGCAATCAGCTAAAGCCAATATATAACCCATTAGGATAAACTGCCATAATTCTCCAGCCTAAATGCGTTTGGAACTTGTACTCCACCATGCCCCCCACCCCGCACAAACTACTAGAACTAGTACAGTACATACAATACTACCACCACAAAACAACACCTCTTTCTACTATCAAACTTTACCATTGCACGCAACAAATCTATGTACTAAGCCTAGAAAGATATTCTCTACACGAGTATAATAACATCTCCTTTTCCCCTCCGGACCAGATTGCCCACTCTGACGAAACCAAACTGCTTCCCGCCGAACCCACAAAGAAAGCATAAAAAATATAAAAAAGAAATATAAAAATAAGACTAAAAAACGAACAGGCGCGAACGACATAAAAACCCTGCTCTCTAACCCGTCGGTGTTCCAGCACGTCCGCCGAGGGTGTTTACCAAGCCCCTATAGTCTAGCCAGAATGCCTTTCTTGGTCTTCTTGAATCCCAATCAGTTTCAGCCCCGCGAAGATCTTCAATTGAAGTAAACACGACACTTGCTCCCCTAACACCGATGACTGCACTTGTGCTTGGGTCTTTGAAAACCTCTTTGGGAGCCTTCTTATTTGACTCAAGAAATTGAATGCACTTGACGGCCAATCTTACCGCCCGGACACGATCCATAGGAGATGGAGTACCACCTTGCTGGACGTGTCCAGGAATAGCAGTACGGGATTCAAATCGACCATTTGCTTCCTCGCGGATAATTGAAGCAATTATTTCAGTGGTATAGGTCTTAGACGCTTTCTCGTTTCTATGAAGCATTCAGTGATTCGCATGGCGTAAAATTCTTACGGCAAACAAACCTCAAGATTAACTTGCCAGCCCTATTCATTCCTTTATCGTTCGCAAAACTCTCTCGAAGGTGATCAATATCATCCTTCAACATATTGAGATTTATACCTTCTTCGGGTGTGTATACAGCCAGCGCACCAACTGAGAGTCCAGCCATAGTAGCCACATAACCAGACTTTCCTCCTTGACATTCGACGACGAATACCCTCCTTCTGCTAGCACTTGCACTCTGTTTGATAGCATCACAGTACTCAATAAGTGCGTTCAAGCAAGTATCGCTTCCAATTGAAAATTCTGTTCCAGGGACATTATTGCTAATAGTAGCTGGCAGACAAATCATAGGAATTCTGAAGGCGGGATAACTATCCCTAGCACTATGGAGCTCAGTGAGCGCATGGTATGCTTCAAAGCCACCAATAATGAGGAGACCGTCAAATTTGTATCGCTGGAAGTACCATGCAACCATGCCCATGTCTTCAGATGGCAAAGAGCGGTTAGTTCCAATCTCAGAGCCGCCACGAATGGCCCAGCCTTCGACTGTAAGCCAGTTCAACTCCCGAACGGAGTCATGGCGAACCAGGCCGGGGAATCCATTGTGTATAGCGAACGGGCGATGGCCTCTATTGAGACAAAAAGTAGCTGCCGCACGTGTAGCTGCGTTCATCCCTCCTGCCGGTGCTCCAACATGAATGATCGCAATCCTCATTCTCTACTTTCCGTCAGTAAAAAAAAAAATAATAATAATAATAATAATAATAAAAAAGCATTTTGCAAGCGATCTCAGATAATTTCACCTTGTCCTGAGGCGCTTTCTCTGAAAGCTCATCTGGCTTTGTCGTAACCATATAGGCCCGGTGGTATTCTTCAAATTCCGGGTCTCTCAGGTTCATGGCCCCCGCGAAATCTTTGTTTTTTATACATTCTGCCACAGCTTTGGTCTAGAACAATAAAAGTCAATAGTTATCATGGCATAGATGACAGTTTGGGCTTACCAGTCTAACAGCATCCATTAGAGGCTTTCGGGTAATTTTGTTTTCGTTGATTGCAATCATCGGACTCAGGGTATCTGGAGTAGACTCTAATACAGCTCTAACGGCCTCTCCGCCTTGTAACGTAGCAAGAATCCTGTCGAATGCACAGGCAGTTCCACCACGCTGAACGTGACCAAGAGTCGTGATTCTGGTATCCAATCTCAACTCGTCTACAAGGATATCTCGAACATAAGTCGCTGTAATTGGCTTCAACTCTCTATCAATAGCACCTTCGGCCACAATGACAATGGTCTTGCGTTTTCCTGCCGTACGATGCTGATATCATTTAGTATACGCAATTTAAGTTATAGGTAGGTAGATTTGAGATTTACTGTTTTAATAATTCGACACATCTCCCCTTCCCATTTGTCTTGGGGTGGTTTTTCCGGTAGGAAAACAAAATCGGCGCCGGTGCTCAATCCAGCCATTAATGCCAGCCAGCCACAATGCCTTCCCATAACTTCCACAACAAAGGCCCGAGAGTGACTATAGGCTGTAGCGTCGATGAAATCCACTGCTTGACAAATTCTCGTAAGAGAACTATAAGCGCCAATGGTAGCATCTGTAGAAGACATGTCATTATCAATACTCCCTACTAAACCAACAATGTTGAGGGTTTTGAAAGGTGAGCACTGCTCCTCAGCGAGCTCTCCCAGCTCGATTAATTCCGCCAATAATCCAGGCCATTCGCTACGGAAGATATCGGCTCCAGTCAGAGAACCATCACCACCACAAACAACAAGAGCATCAATTCCAGCCAAGACCAAATTCTTTGCACCCTGTAATCTGCCTGCGCGTTCCGTAAATTTCTTGCATCTGGCTGTTCCAATCAAGGTTCCGCCCTCGGAGAGCCAACCACGAACATCCTCCCAATGCATTCTCTTAATAAGCCCCCCGCCCTGTACTAATCCCTCATATCCCTCATAGATCGCATAGGCCTCGCATCCTTGTGCAATGCTCATCCTGACCACTGCTCTAACCGCTGCGTTCATTCCTGGCGCGTCTCCACCACTTGTCATGACAGCAATTCGCTTCTTCACCCCGCCTGGGGTGCTGGGTCTCGTCTGGTCCCGAACCCTTGATTCCCCCAAGACGCCTGGAACATACCTGGGCCCGACCCTAGTAAACGGATTTGCTTTAGAAGTAAATCCAACTAGTGTTCCCAACGGGTCATGGGTGTACACCTCCGAGGGCTCCTTTTCGCTGGGTTGGGACTGGAAGGCAATCTTCTTCTCTGAAAGAAGATCGATCACTCTGTCCAGGGCCGGGGTGTACAAGATGACACTCATTGACTTTCCTCTCCATTCTTCGCTGTTCGGCGGAATCGGGGGAGGGATTAACGATTGCCTCCGAAGTCCGGCTTCCACTACATAGCGGATCTTGAGATTGACATCTGTGCCGTCGCCGGCCGCGCCTTGAGAGTACAACCAGGTCTCCTTCTCGGAGGCGCGACAATGATCATCCTCACGTTTAACGGTGGGATGAGTCCGATCGTAGACGAAAGCCTCGTCGAATCCAAGATCGGTGTAAAAAGCGACAGTGGTATAAAAAAGCTCTTCTGTAGGAGCAATTAAAGATATGGAAGAAACACCACTAGTAATGGCATCATGCGGGTCAGCAACTTGCATGGCTTTTCCAGAGGAATGGATCCGGAGGCTATCTATTCGACCACGTGGAAGGTGGAGGTAATTTAGGGAGAGGAGGAAATTCCGATGAGCGTATAGTAAAAAAATAAAATAAAATAAGAGAAATACCTAACGAAGTAGTGAAGATTCTTCTGATCAGGAGTAGGGCCCGTCATTGCCTTATAGGATCCGCGGGACACGGAGTAGACAGTAGTGAGCAGTCTTTAACAGTAGCGGTGATGATGATGGTGATGACGATAATGATGATGAATGATGATGCGTGAAGGGGTAATATGATAAAGAAAGATGGTAGAGCACGTTAGTCGCACAAAGTGCGAGAGAGAGGAGACAAACAAACTAACGGAGGGGCGGGGGGGCAGGAGAGGATAAAGAGGAAAGAAAGCGACGAGTGAAGGAAAGAAAGGGGAAAAGCAATTAATTCCATGTGTGGTTGACTGGTTTGCTCAGCATGGAAGCCCATCAAAGTGGGATGTTTGGTGGGGCTGATCATGGTCCCCACCACCGTACATATCGTATCATACAAGGCCATGAAGGATAGCATCCACAATTCCCCTCATGTCTCCTCCTCATGCCCCAACTTCTACCAGCAATCATGAGTTTACCCGCAAAACAACCGCAGGTGAAAAGGAGAAAGAAAAAACCCCCAGCCGGAACGACCCCTGTTAAAACTGTTCGAGTGGATGCCCTGATAAGAATATGGTGTTAACCCCACTATTAGATAATATCACCACAATAATCCTAGCAGTTGATGGTGGGGTGACCCGGATCGTAAGCGGGGGATCACAGACCCCGGGTAGCAGGCTGTACAGTACTCGAGTAGGCGAGACCAAGGATTATGATATCTATCTTGTAGGTACAGTACAATACAGTACGAGTACTGTACAAGAACTGGGAACATTGCCCGCGAGGTCACTGCACCGAGGTGCAGTCGTATCTATCCCCTTAAATCGCGGGACCAAACATCACGCCATACAATCATCTAACAGTTGGAGAATCGGACCGCCGCTCGTCTTGAAGTGCCTTTGTCTTACAGTCCACAAAATAATCAGAACAGTCTGAGTGCAGCACAGTACTGTTATGATACAGAAATCTATTACTACGAACATCATCTCATACTTTTACCACACTACCCCCCCCCCCCCTTACCTTCTCGAGTACTATCTAACGGCATCTCAAGCCAAGTCGACTCGATGCCAGCAAACTAGTAATCGAATGCCAGAGCAAAACTACCGGTAAGCGCATAAATAAATAGAGCAACGAAACGTCAGGCAAATACAGGGGTAAAAAGTGGCGATAAAAAATAAAAAATGAAAAATGAAAAATAAAAAACAGGACACCTATGATATACCCAGATGAAAAGAATCCCCTAATGATAAAATAATGAAAATGAAGCACCCAAGGAAAGCGACAAGAGTTTCCCCCACCCCCTCACAAGAACCGATAATGCTAACCAGCCGCCCATAAAAAATAATAATAATGATAAAAAAAAAAATTTAAAAAAAAAAAAGATATAAATCAGGTGAATACAAGAAACTGGAAATGCCTCATTACTCGAGGATGACGTTTTTTATATAATGAAGTAAGAAGAAGGGGGAGTAAGACTACTGGCATGATAATATAGGAGGAGAGAGTCATGAGCTGGATAAACAAACAGCAGTAGCAGTGGCGAGGGGGGAAAAAGGCATCACTTCGTAAGGCATCATAATTCCCTTTTATCGCAACACCCAGTTCTACAAAAAAAAAAAAAAAAGCCCAGAATTTCTCGGAAATCAAAGCCCAAAGAGACACCGAGGGAAGTGAAGAAACTCGACATGGAAAGAAGAAAGAACCCTCCCTGATAAAAAGTGATTCATGACTGCCAAATTTTAAGGAAAAATGCCCCCCCCCCCCCCCCCTTTGGTATCTGGCCCAAAGTGAATTCCATCCTCCCCACCCGGGTCTCTTAAGGGGAACCCCCTCCACATCCCCCCCCCATTTCTCTCTCGGGCTGGTTTCCGCACTGGTCGTCGCAGGGATAGGGGCCACCCTGGTCGGGGTGGGTCCCAAAAATTGACCCCTTTCCCAAACCCCCAAATTTGGCCTGGGGGGCTTGGGGGCCCGGATATCTTTTTTGAGCCCCAAAAGGTCATCCCCCCCCCCCACTTCCCCCAATTTTTGTCCCGCAAGAACCCTGGTCAAACCCCGAAAGGGGGCCCCCCCCCCCAAAACCGTTGAAGGGAAGCCCCCATTCCAAAATTCCTCCATATTGGCCTTTAAAACCGGCCCGGCCACATTACTTCCCTCCTCCGGGGTGAAATAATTCTGGGGGATAT